CCCAATATGGAAGAGTTTATAAAAAAAAAGTATTTTTAAACAGGCCTGTTCGCCTACTACGTGAGCAGCAACTGAGGGGCTCGGGGATAGTGGGCATAATCATGTACATGATTATAGGCTTCGCGCGATCGATCGATTACCCTTTTAAATCTATTAATGGTGAGCACAACCTGATTTTTTAAATGAATTGAGATAAAATATCACGCGGACCAGGCAGCAGACGGGACTCGAACCCGCACCCTTCGCAATCCGGCCGAATGCACTGACCAATTATGCTACCGCGGCCCTCACGGACCGCGTCGAAATTCTTCTAGCCATTCTTAAGCTGCAAGGCAGCGCCATCTCTTCGCATTATAGGTAACCAATTTTTTCTAGTTAAATTTTCTTTAGATTTAAACATCAAGCAGTTACATGCTTTAAAATAATAAAAATTATAACTGAATTGAGATACATAATTTACCATACCAAATAATCTTTCGAATGATTTTTAATCAGTAGGCTGTTTTAATTCTCGAATAGTTTTAATTTTTTCATCATCTGTGCTAACACAGTTTTCTCCAAATTCGTGCCCTAAAAAGTAACATGTTTAACAAAAATAAACAATTTTTTGGATTAAACTTAATATTACTTTTACATGCCTGTTCAAGAACCTTTATTAATTATAATTTTAATATTTTAAGCATGTTACTGCATGATGTTTAAATCTAAAGAAAAGATAACTAGAAAAAAATCCACGCGGACCAGGCAGTAGACGGGACCTTTATTAATTTAATAATAACTGTAAGTTTTCCTTAGAATTAAACATTATTTCCATATTATTTTATTTTATTTTATGGGCTTAGCAAATTTTTATGAATAATCCTATTAAAAATAGCTAAGCTGCCTGACTTATACCAAATGGTAATCTAAGAAAACAATAATGGCCCCAAACAGTCTGAAAAGTATATAACCTAGAACTGGCATGGCCAAGAGGCAGGTTTCAAAAACCAGATTGTGCATCTAGTTTACAGAATCACTTTGCACCATATAACTTAGCTAATATCTCATCCACTGTAGGGAAAGGATAATGCGCACGTTTTAAAGCCTTATTTAACGGCCTGGGAGCCAAACAAGTCCTTAAGGTACCATCTTTTTTAAGAACAACAACTATTTGACTCACCCAATCAGTTGGTTCCGTTACGGGATCAATAAACCCATTTTAACCATGGAGTCCAATTCTAGTTCAATTTTTGGAAGCAGATCATGGGGTAATCTGTAAGCAGATGAAATAACAGGTTTTACATGATGATCTATGTCTAACTTTACTTTTTCTGGTATACATCCTGTACGGCACGCCGGGCTGTCGCAGTAGCTGACAGTTACCGACTCGTACTTGGGGGTGGAGGAAGGTACACGTAGGAATCTTGACGGCGATAGTGGACTGTAGCTTCGGTGAATAAAACTCCCAGTGTTCGGTGTTGAAGAAATCGGTGGGCGCTGGTAATGGATGGCCGGAGAGAGGAGGCTTCAGGTCCAGAGTGAACCGCTTGTTTCATCCTGTTCCTTTAGGGTAGGAGCGCCTGTCGCTGAATGCATGTCGGAGCCTGTTCCGACTTGAATTTTATATGCGCTGACTGAGCTGGCCTGCGATCCATTACCTCGCCCCCGCTATACTTTATTTCTCATTTATTCAAAAAATACATAGGTGCGAGCTTAAAACTATATGTACATACATTAGGCATACAAATAGGCAGATTTTTAGCGCAGTTGCGCGTCCGTAAACATCATATTTTAGGTGTGGCGCGCAAAAAATAGGTCTCCGTGATATTTATAATTTCCCCCTCCATAGGGCTTCGCCCGCCACAGGGCTTCGCTGCCCCACCCACGCGCTCAGTGCGCGTCGAGTGGGGAGCGCGCAAAGTTTTAATAAATCGTTCTATACAAACTAATTTTATCTTATATTCGGTACATTTCTACATTTATCGATTTGATGCCTATTTATTTATGTAGTCCTATGCGTTATCTATCTAATACAATAAGTTTCTAATAAGAATAATGACAAACAATTACTCTATAGCCCTATAAAGTTTACAAATTTAAAGGTCTCAAAAAAAAACCTACTTAGAATCATTTAATGCCTAACTATCATATTTATCCTTATTCTATAGGGCAAGTGAAAATACACAAAATGAAAGCTTTATGATTAAAATTATACCTATAACCAACCAAATATTCATCAAAAACTATATCTAAAGTTTGCCTTAATTACGCCTAAACTATTAAAGTTATTTACACGAGACTTTGCTATCTTAATCCTATTACCTAATAAAATATAAGTCATACAAATTTAAACATAAAAACATAATATTTCCGAGAGCTAACAACTTAGGCGAAATCTTATAAGACTGCTAGAAAGAGACAGCCTATCGTCCCTGTCCCTCCTATCGGTCCGAACTATCAGATTCTAATACAGTTTCTCAGCGCCACCGCTTGGCGTCGTGGCGATCGATTAGGCAAATTCTGATAAGATTATTGGTTAGAAAGAGACAGAATATCGCTTTGAACTATCAACTTTACAATCAGTTACTGTGGGCAAAATTCTCTATTATTACGATATTCGACTAATTCTAATAAAACGACAATGAAATAATGTATTTAATGATCGTACAAATCAGTTACATGTGAAATTGCATATATAGACATCAGTCTTGTTTCGATGTAAACTTTATTTCTTCTCGCTTCGGTCGTAAGGCGGTCGTCTCGTACACATCCAATTTGTCCATCAAATACTTATTCTATTGAAATGATATTAGTTTGTTTAATCCCGGTTATAAGACCTAATTGTTCTGAAGGATTATATCCTAAAATATTTGCACAATTCTGCTTGACAATATAAAATTCTTATTTCTATGATTGATTTAGAAATGTACAATTTAGTGTAAGTTTTCCTACTATTGGCACTATCTGTATTGGCACACTATATTAGTAAAGGATGTGATTTTGATGACAGTTTTTTCAATATCTGTCAAATTATAACCTATTTGCAATATTTGAGATAGACTGAAAACATTACATTGAGCACCAGTGTCCACTTTTTGTCAATAAAGCTGTATCCCAGGTATTAGACATTGTTTTAGCTAATGAATTTATATTAAGGCCCTTTAATTGTAATTTCTCAGATTACCAATAGGTAATCTGATCATTATCCAATCCATTCACATTTCGTTATGATTAACACTGTCTATAAAAGTGATTGGTTTTCTTGTAGATAGCACATAACTTACCAAAGGCAGTTAGTGACCATATACATGATTGAAACCACAATATTGGCATATAATGTTTTGCTGATATTTTTTTCATCCTTTTTGTTTTGTAAGTTGGTCTATTTCTGGAGTTACTTCTTATTTGTTCACCGTACTTTTCCATACTTGACACTTGTGCATCAATCACAGAATGCGTTCTACATATTTCCAGTGCCTTTGTTATAGTTGTACCTGTAGAACTTAAAAATTGTTTTCTTAACTTCACATCTTTTATGCCACATATAAATAAATCCTTAATCAACTCATCAAGTTCACCCAATCCACAATTTTTTCCTAAATTTCTTAAAGCTGGCAAATAATTTTCGTTTGATCCATTATCCATTTGCTTTCTTGTAAATAATACATATGTTATGTACCTACTCTCTTAAATGTATTTATTTATATTTTTCTTACTGGCACAAAATTATCATCAAATATTTTAATTTTTTTATAAAATCTTCTTTTTATACTTTTCTTCCAAACTTTCGTACATGACTTGGCATACGTATCCATGGTTAAGCAAAATTCCATTATTTTGCTTGTCATCACTTGTGGGGGCATCCAAATAACTCAGCATCTACCTTATTTTAAAGTTGAGCCAGTTGATGTTCATATCACCTGAATTCAGTAGCACTAATGAGCTTGCATAATTATTTTACTTCCACCTTTGATGACTAGGTACACAAAAAAAAATCTTCCGGGTTAATCTGTTTAAACTTCTATACCCAATCCTCTTTTCAGTACTCATATACAAAATTTGCTTTTAACCGCTTTCACCATGTTTTCTTTTAATAATAACGCAGTAAAGCTATTATATTAATTATGTTTATACAGAAACGTCTAACCTTACATCTAGAACACCTGTTGTTATGTTAAAATCTAATATATAAAATTCTTGTGTCACGGTGTGCGTAATTGAGCTACTCCGAAACGGCTCGACCGATTTTCGTCAAATTTTATATGCATATTCAGTAGGTCTGAGAACCGGCCAACATCTATTTTTCATCCCCCTAAATGTTAAGGGTGATTCACCCTTAAATTTTTTTTGGACAACATTTTTCCTTTTTATTTTTTTGTGATACGTCATACAAAAATACATACAAACCTACATTTTCACCCTTCTACCATCCATATTTTTATGACGATACGAAGTTCGTTGGGACAGCTAGTAAACATTAAACATTGCTTACTCTAAGGCCCTAATGAAGTAAACAGAGAGTTTATTTTGTATATTTTTGGTTTGTTTTGTGCAGTAAAAAAGCCTGTTTTTAGTTTTTTAAACTATATTTTTTTTGCATGTAAAATTGCTACTGCGCAGGCTTCCTTGTCTATGGTCGATGCTCAAGAAGTTTGCCGTGGTGTATATCCGCATCGCCTGCAGTAAGTACTTACTTTTACAACTTATGCCAATGTAGCTAAAGGAGTGATATTTCAGTTGACGTTTGGTTATGTTTTGTTTTTTATGGAATTAATCGAGTTAAATTAATAATCATAGATCTAATCTCAGCATGAGCACTGACGTAAGTCTATGTAAAGATACATACATTGCTCTGGCTATGTTAGCAACCGTTACGTGGCGTTTAGTTGACATATACGATTCGAGGTAATGCATATATCTACTGTCTACTGTTTACTTATCTCATTGACTTTACGAAATCGCATTTGTGAAATTAGGGAGGTGGCCGTTTGAAGTAAAGTATAAATATTGTAACTGTCAGGATGTACCACCATCAGTCGACACCTACAGTCCTTTGTGGATCATCCATCAATCACTTTGCAACAATGAAATCCATCGTAAGTGTCATAGTGTCATGTGCGGCATCGGAGAGGCGGCTTAAACTTGACAGTGATATTAATTAATAAGTTCAGTGAACACACATTTCGTCTAGTGTCGTGTTTGCTAGAAAAAAATGGGCCAAGCGCTACTCTGGCCTCGCTTTATTAGGGTTCCGTATAAAACAGTATTTTTTTAACGAAGGCAACATCGCTTTTTATCGTATTATCACTGACTTATGAAATAGTTCTTTCCGAGTACAATTAACCGCGAAAGGAAAAAAATTTGTCTCCTGCATGGGAAATAATTTAGTTGAATTTTTAACTGAACTTTTGACTTTGGGTAAGCATCCTACATAAAATACCAAAATTTCAGTTCTGTAACTTACCCGTTTACATCTAGAGACCCGTGGTATATGGACAGATAGACAGTCGACGACAGAGTGACAGTAATAGGGTTCCGTTTTCACCCTTTAGGTACGGAACCCTAAAAATGCTAATTTTATGCACTGTTTTTAATTTCTAAGCAGATCTAAGCCGATCTATAAATATTCAAATCGATTCATTCTATTGATGAAATACATAAATGAGTATTTGATTATAGATAACATCAGATGCATTCTGTTTTGAGACATGTCTAAAACCGTACATTGCTTTAATTGTATAAATATATCAGGTAATTATAATAGCTTAATCAATTGTGAGGACATCAGGAAAACAACGTCACTATTACAACCACTTGGACTCGAGACAATAAACCTATCATATCTGCATTAATTTCTGCGGGAATCTTACCATTATTGCTTCCGTAATGTACTACATTTGGTTGTATATGTAAAAATTCTTCATACCCAGGTGTTGGTGTCTTTTCTGGTCGCGGTCAGCTACGCCGCTCCTCAAGCTCCATCTGAGCCCATACCTATCGTGCGACAGGACAGCCAAGTCAACGGAGATGGCTCCTACCAGTATTCGTTCGAAACTGGCAATGGGATCAGCGCGGATCAGAAGGGGGACCTAAAGAAGGTAGGCGACGTCGAAGCTCTGGAGGTCCAGGGGCAGTTCCAGTACCCCGGTGATGATGGCAACATCCAGTTGACATATACTGCTGATGAGAATGGCTTCCAACCGCAAGGAGCTCATTTGCCCACGGCTCCACCAGTGCCGGAAGCTATTCAACGCGCGCTCGCCTACATTGCCACAGCGCCTCCGCAAACAGCGCCTGCCTCTCAATAAGCCAAAGACGGATCGTAATTAACTAACAAGTTCATCAAACCGAAGCCATTTTTACTTTTATACGTGAACCCTTTATTAAAGAGATTTTTTAATATAGTGTTTTTTATTGATATAAGATTTCTTCTTTCAAATGTTTAATACTTGTAAGGGTAGTTCGGTTGACAGTGTGGGTCACCTAAAATGTGAAGAGATAACGCTGCCTTGCAACCTAAGAAATACTAGAGGAAATTCGACACAACTATTCAGGTCTCGGAAGCATAATTGGTTAGTGCGGGCGTACTCACGGATTACAAGATATGAACGTATATAGAGAGAAAATAAACTCACCAAAAACCTTTGAAACATTAACCATACATTAAAAAAAGGTATTTTATTTATTTTAAGATTGAAAACTATCGAGAAGTCTTGGAATAGCAGTAGGTATTACTTACGGTATTACTTATTTGAAATCATAATTGTATTTTCGACAAGGCTAATTGAATACTTATTCTGTATCTATTTATTAGCACTTCTAAAGACCAAAGGGCAGCAGTAATCTGTAAATTATAGTTGAAACATAATACGTATCCGTAAAATATATCTACATTTACGGGCCAAATACATATTTCATAATTTACCTAGATTTTGACACGATAATGTTTGATAAATTAACAACGAACGTTCCTAAGGCATGTCTAGAAGACCTTATCTTTTTAAACGTTTGAGTATAGGCAGTCAAGTTACGAATGTCATAATGCAGGGTTATTATCTAATAAATGATTCAATGAATAGCGCGGTAGTGAAGGTCAGTTATGTATTGACGCACCCGTGTTCTTGCTTTACTTTCGAAAGTGTGTTGAGTAAAAAAATGTTTTACAAAAATAAAAATCCACTTCATAAAAAGAAAACCATAAAAAAGCCAGAAATAATGCTAAATATTTATACATATTACTTGATTTTTAGTTGTCTTGTGTTTATAAAGTCGTTTTTTATATTTGTTAAAAAAATAATAAGGCCTCCGGCTTTAACCTCAACTAGCTATGTACTTGGTACCTCAATAAATGTCTTTTATCTATCTTAAAATAACCAACTACGAATTGAGTACTGATTGTAATAGAGGAGTTCCACTGTTTTCTCCAAAATAACTTATGACATCTTCACCAAATTAAAATAGGATTATCTCGCCAAAAGCAGATTTAAACAAAGCGAGTGTGCTTTTGATGACACGAATGAGGTGAAACTACTTTAGCTCCAATGATCTGAAAATTATAAACTTTACCTGAAAATTTTTTGATAGAAAAAAAAACCGCATTGGGTCCATTATCACCCACCAATCCGCGCTGGGTACGTTATCACCCACCAATCCGAGCTGGGTCCGTTTTCGGCCACGAATCCACTACGCGCACTACTAATCACTACCAATACGTGCTAGACAAAACCGCTCAATCTATGTATTTAATATTAAAATTTGAAAGTTAATGATAAGTTGGAGTATGAAATAAACAGTAAAAAATATAAATTTAAAAATCAGAAATTCCGACTACTTAAATATTATTTCCAATAAAAACTGAAAAGAAAAATACAAGTCCAGTAGTCTATAATGCTGTTAAGTAAGAAACATAGCTACTTTAACAGTCTTTAAGTATTATAGACTACTGGACTGGATTTTTTCTTTTCAGTTTTTATTTGAAGTAATATTTAAGCAGTCAGGTTATTTGATTTTATAAAGGACATTGTTCTGCGTCCATACATTGTTAGCCTAAGAACCAACAATCATGAAATATTATTTTCTAGGTTCGAAATTGCAAGTAAATGACTGTAAAAACAAAGATTATTGACGGACACTTCTGAGAACTCAAATTAACAGGAAAACTAAATATTTTTTGAGGTTATGTTTAATATTAAATGAAACATAGGTCAACCTATGAACTCAGTATGAATTGGATTAATATTACAACTAATTCATTTTTATTCGATGCGATTTTAAAGAATAACTATTAGGAAAAACTTGGTTAGGTAGGAATCATGAATAAAATAAAAACTGTAGTTTTGCTTCTTATTTTTTGACTATTTTTCACATAATGTAGATTTGTATTTATGTGTATATCACATGTATATTGTGTAAATATGCAGCGTGAATGTGTATCAGCTGCTCTTGAATAATTGGGCAGTATGATCCTCTCAGGATGTTGTGGCACAGGTTCTCTAGCACTTGGTAATAAGGTCCTCTGCTATTTAGTAACATCGGTGGCATATTAGATAGCCGAAATAGTTAAATTAAAGGAAAAAAATTGCAAATAAACACACACAACAGGTAATCCGAAACGAGAATGCACGAATGCCACAGATTACTACAAATGCAAACTGCCTGCACCACAACCACAGAGTATCGAGTTTTATGCCGCCCCTTTACTTGACAACAGTCTGTCCTTGTTATGCTTAACATGGAATAAAAAGGACAGACTGATGTCAAGTTTTCAAATAGCAAACACGAATAGCCAAGTGATGTGCCGGCATTAGGAAGAAAGTGTTTTGTTTGCAGCGCTGTCATAGATTATACACTTAAAATGGTAGTGTTAGATTATTTTTTAACTTTTTAATATAGCTTACTTGACTGGAAGTGTCCGTCAGAATCTAAATACTCATAATTATCGCAAAAATATACTAAGAATTATCATAAATGCCAAATTGGTGTTGGTTCTTAGGCCAAATTTAACATTGTCCTTTACCTTTTTATTTTAGATTTTTTAGTTAGGATTATAAGATATTATATATCGCAGTCTTGCTACTTCAGTAAGGAAGTTAATATCGCGGGGATTATATATATTAAGACATAGTATCCAAAACCTTACCACCAGAGTGAAGAATACAGATGGCCCTCAATTTTCGCAAAAATTAAACACTTTCTTTACCCTGTCTGCGCGTCGCCCTTCGCGCTCTGGCATTGCGCAGTCGCGTATCAGAGTAATTTTCTCAATTCAAACTTAATGGCCTGTTCCTTAACAATAAAAGTACTTTTTCGAACGTTCTTGAAATTTCATTTGGAAACTAGGTCCCATTTGTTTCAAGGTGGTGCAACTAATATTTATATTTTATAATAAGTTATTGAAAAAAGTTTTTCGTTAATTGAGCGTCCACCGTTTAAAAGGACATTGACGAAATCGGCCCTAGCATGCCCAAAAGAATGTCCTTCACTATTATTTTTCTATTATTTTTTAACTTATTAGCAATTAATCATTGTAAACGGACAATCTGTTTAAGAAAATAAAAAATTAAAGTTCTGTTACTAGATACTACAGTCTGTTCATCCAACTTGGCACTCCTTTTTATTGAAAATACAGCATTAAAAATCAACTGATAACTAGATTCAATAGGTTTCAGTCTATAATAACGATTTATTTTAATAGTTTATTGGCTTCGTTAATATTTTATTATTAAACGGGTGATTCTGTTAAAAAGTTGTGCCAAGATTGTTTACCTTATTAAATGCAATATAGGCGACCATAAAAATAGAACTAGGTACCTTAGTCAATAATACTTATTACTAGTATTTATATTATATTTATAAAAAGATTATTTCTGAAATTATGTAAAGATAGTTTATACTCCCATCCCATGTAATATCTGTTTATTTTTATGAAAATCACATTGATAACCAGGTACATACCTAATTACCGATAGTAAAATATAGAAACAGGTAAATGGAAAGACTGAACATTTCATTTGAAAAGAAATCTATTATTACCTACTACAGGTAGGTATAGGTATCATAGGTGCCAACTGACAACACTCATAAATCAATATGAATATAAGCATTTATTATTTTTATTATTAATTGCATTTTATGTTCATTTAATGCATATTATTTAAGTGCTTACATAGAGGTAAAAACTAAATCTATTCAGAATATATAAAGTGTACATCTCTTACGATTAAGTATAATAATTATAACCTCAAAATCTAATACATTCTGTAGTAGGCCACGGTTCCTCAAGTTGTCCGTATCTCAACAAATGCTTAATTAGAGTTTATGAATGATTCCGAACACAACTAGCATTTTCTCATTGCTGGGCGTTATAGGGCATTCAATGTATGGGGAACGAGCAATGTCCTTTCACTACTCTCATATATATGTACTAAATTCAGACTGAACAATATATCGTTCAACCCTGGTCTCCACGCCTGTAATTAAAACTTTTAACGAATAACCATGAGCATACGTTCCACACGACGAGCTTGATGGCGCAGGTGGTTGGCTTGTTCTTCTTGCGATCGTGGAAGTTAAGCAACTTTCGCAATGGCGGTCATTGGATGGGTGACCAAAACTGTATTTCAAAATCCTATGGGCTTCGGATGGCGCCCTATGTATTTGGTCCCGGCTGTATATGCAGTTGTTAGCACCCACTAATCTGCAATGCAATGGAGACAAGCAGAGATTAATGTTGTAGTGATTCAAATACTGAACTGAGTATTATCGAGATAAGTTGTGATGTATCTTTACCTAATTTTTGTTTTTCGTACTGAATAATTATTTATTTATCCAAACATAATAAATTAAAATAACACAAACTTCAAAACTATATAGCTTAACCTACTTACGGACATAAATAAATAATTTACAAAATAAAAAACATATCGCCCCCAGTGCCGCCATCAGCAATGGTGCCCAATAGGCTGGCAGCTTTGCCGCGTTGAATGGCAAGGCTGATCCGTTGACCAAGATAGCTACCAGCCTTTTGATCACCAGTCACTTCGGTGAGCCTCTTTGACAATTCCTTTAAAAGGGAACGACGCTTGGACCCCATGGGCCCATAGTCTCAACACCAAACGGCACAAATATGTATTTCTCAATGAGAGCTGAATATTTGCTTAAGATAGGAAGTGAAGTTTTGAGATTGCTGAATTTGCCAAAGTTGCCAAAGAAGATAAACTTTTTGTTTTTCTGAATAGTATTTTCTTACGTGATTTTTTATAGTAACCTTGGAAGATCGTTTTCTCATAGGTTGAAGTTTCATTTTTGTTTCAACATTTGGTAGCCTGATAGCGGAAGCTGCCAAGCTGATGACGATCATGATTCGTTTCACAGGAGCGGGACTTTTCATTTTTTTGTTAAGAACAGTGCAAGATTATTCCGTCGCAGCCGTCAGTGGTTTCGCAGCGTACCTATTATGTGTAGTTGTGTTCTAATACTTTATTTTTAGTTTATATTTAACCCAGTTCCAACCGAGTGTTCCTCGCAACTCACGTTTCCTTTTTATTAAAGTTTACGTAAAATATAATGTGAACTATAGTTAGTTCGGCGGTTGTTAAGATACATTTTGGGGAACTAGTTGGGATTTTGGATGTTAAAAACAATTTAAGAAGTCCAATTGGTGTAAATGAAGTAATGGTAATGCCGTGAAACGGAATGTATCATTATTTATATCCATGAAATACAATTTTTACTTTAAAAAAATAACTAAGTTATAAAAACTTTGCAATAGCAAAACTATTATGTGACGTCTGTAAGAATATAATATATTCAACCGTCAATGTATTATGATAAAATTGTTATTTATTATATTTATATTTGCCCATTAAGAGACATCAAAATATACTAGGTAGTAATTATAATATTAACTAGAAACGTGTAACCTTGTTGAACCGGTTTTGTCGTAAAACTATTGTTTTATAATTTTTAAGAAATATTTCATATGGGTTATTGCATAATTTAAATTTGATAATAGTAGACTTGACATGGAAATTTCCAAAATAATTTAGTGTTAATTTTATTTTCATTATATTTTATCTATTGATGAAAGCGTTCTGTATGACGTGCACTCATTATTGTGCAGAAAAGTAATATTTTAGTCGTAATAAGTCCTTATAAAGTTGTGTTACATAAAGCGTTTTTTGTAGTGTATATTTTGCAAAAAAAAACTAGAAAGCAATAATATTTCTAGAATTTTCTCGTAGCATACATGCTACGTAATATGATTAGTCCACTAATTATTGCCATAGAAGGAAATTTTATCAAACAATAGTTCGAAGGATGGTAGGTCCTAGACTTGTCCCCGTCGATAATTGTTTTGTTTGGTAATTTATTTTTAAAAAGTTTGAACACGAAAAAAAAACAATTTGAAAGTTCTATGTCTGAGTATACGTATGGCTCGTAAAATATAATGAATTCAATGGGATATAAAAGACATTGCATAAATTTCAACTAAGTCCATACCTACCTTAGCTTTGACATACTTATGTATGGTAGAGACTAAATTCGATTCAAATAAGCATCCCTTCATTGTCATTTTAAATATTACAATGGAATATTAAGGAAATATGTTATAGGTAATATAACAATAAATATTGTTATAATATAAATATAATATATTGTTATAATATATGTATTGTTATAGTATATTCTTTAGTACCAAAACATAATTGCTTTGGTACTTCAGAAATGAATACTTGAATGAGTACATCCAAGATGCCTGTGACTGAATAATAATTATGGTGCTAATCGATTAAACTGATGCCGTCGACATGTTGCAAATGCATGATTACAGTAAACTCAAACATATTTTGTCGAATTTATTCTGACGTGCCAAATGGTGCAATACCACCCAGTGGTGGTAGGCGTACAGTGACCCATCCGTATATATACCGATAAGGCTCCGTTAGAAAACATTGTCTAGTGCCTTCACCGACAAACAAACACAACAAACATGAAGACCATTGTAAGTGTTAGTGATTGTGTCCTTCGATGTTTATAAAAAATCAAGTGAAAAGTTTCTGGAATAGTTTCAGTGATCAAATAGAAAAAGAACAGTTTTTTTTGTGAGCGTCGTTTCAGTGCGGATATAGTGAAGATTAATATTAACAGGTTTATATAAAATTCCAGGTTTTCTTGGGACTCCTGGCTGCCGCCGTCGCTGCTCCTCAAGGGGTAACAGAGCCAATTCCTATTGTGCGTCAAGAGAGCGAAGTCAACCCTGATGGCTCCTACCAATGGTCGTATGAAACCGGTAATGGCATCGTAGCTGATGAAAAGGGAGCCCTGAAGAACATCGGCGCCGAGGAACCGGCTCTAGAAGTGCAAGGCCAATTCCAGTACCCGAGTGAAGAGGGTGGTAACATCCAGTTGAGCTACATTGCTAACGAGAACGGATTCCAACCTCAAGGCGCTCACCTACCTACTCCACCTCCAGTGCCTGAAGCCATCCAGCGGGCTCTCGCCTACCTCGCCACCGCCCCGCCACAACCAGAGAACAGGAGACGCTAAATAAACCTAACCTTTATTTAATAATTAATTCAAAGGTTTGCCAGTTAGTCATTAATATGCTAAAGGGATAATACAAAAAAATCGATGTTTGTTCCTAAATATGTCTAGCAACCAAAACTATTTAGGGATCTATATTGATGTTGTGAGTTTTAAACGAATTTTGTAAATATTTTTAAACGTAATATTAATAATTTTACATATAAATATTTGTGTACAATTTAAATGCCTTCCATTATTTATGGCCCATATTAAAACCTGTTTCGCAGCAAAGGCAAACACGTGCAAAAAGCGCTTCTCCTATTTATATAGATAGAAATATTTGTAATTATTAGTTCAATAAATTAAAATACATTTAAATCAACTAAAAATAACGTTTATTACTAGAAATTATTATAGTTACATACATGAATATTCATATTAACGAATTGTTGACTAAATTATGAACAAAATTTCATACCTGAGTATATTTTGCCATTACAAGTAACTAGCTACTTATTTAACAATTTTGCCAATAACTCGAACTTTTTATCGAGTAGTTACCTCCTACGATTAATTAGATTTAAGCAGGACATTAATGTGTATTTGGTAAAAAATCGAAATCGACTGTTCATACTTACTTTCCAGCCTTCAAATAGATGCTCTAGATTTTAAGAAAATCTCAAGAATCTGGGCTTTCAATTGACCAAATTTTTTTGATAAGGTTCCTTAGATTCTCTATGATCAGGTATCTTTTTGCTTACTCTTGCCCTCAAAACTTATAAAATATTAACAACTTCCAGAAAGTTGCTGCCAGGAACAGATAAAAAAATGTAATTGGGTTAAATTCAAGTTCGTAATTCCTTCAATACCTATTAAAAATAATCTTGTTTTCATGAGAGAAAAATAAAGAATATTCAAGGAGAATTTTCTATTTAAAACTATTATTTGGTTAGTAACCGTCGACCGGACTTACGACCCCAAAGACCCCTGACAGGAGTTAATAATAGTCGTTGACATTTATAAGGAACTTGTTTTGTGAGACATAGGTATTTTCGATGTTTGAAACTGGTCGTTTTCCAGAGATACGAGGAAGACGATCAAGGTCAACTAGGATAGTTATAAATATATTTTAAAATATATTCAGAGATCCTTCGATTCGACACGCTTTGTCGAAGTTCCGATTCTTATTATTTGCAGAAATATATAGTTAGTATAATAATACCTTATTGTTCTCTATTTTTTTTCTTCTTGTAATTTTCTTGAAATCCTTTCTCTTCTTATCTACGCTGCTGGCTCTGAGCTTTCCAAGTGTTATTTTAAGTATGTCAATCTTTTGTAGGCCTACCTCTTCGTCTTATACTTCATAATTCATGTCACCTCCTGGTTTGTGATCAGCGTCATTTCATCAGGAAATTAAAATTTTGCTGATCACAGAAAATAACATAGAATAACAATTTGTCACAGAAAATAATAGCATTTTAAATAGGTATGGTATGGAGCGACTTGTGACAATGAAACCTAAAAAGGATCAGGGGTAAAACATCAATAATACCAATTTAGAAAGTGTTGTAGAAATGATCGAAAATTTAAGAAACAAGCATTATTTTTTATTTATTTATAATATTCAAGTTTTGTGAGAGACAAGCATGACATCTGACAGAGACAGACCTGTACCCCATTATCCAATTCGAATAGTTTGCAATCTGAAATGTCAATGTAAAATTTTGTATGGAAACTTGAACAGCAGCGCTACAAAGTACGTAACGAGAACTAAAATCAGAACACATTTGACAATGACATTTCGGACTCGCAAACGATTCCAATTCGATAATGGTTCGTGCTAAGGGTACGGTATTTGTATCGCTATAGTGAAAGTTTCTATGGAAACTAAGCAGCGCCCCTACCGGACGCAAGAAAAAACTAGCTCCTTCCATAGAAACTTTGTCGATGGTGATACGAATACTTTCTCGTTAGTTGTTCGAGCTTGGGGTACAGGTGAGTACTATCACCTAGAAACGTATATATGCGTAAAATATAACAAAATTGGTTCATTTTATTATGTAAAGATCATACCAATTTACATGTAAAAAAATAAGCCATTATAATTAAAGAATACAAAGAGATAACTATATTTTTGTTTAGGTAGAGATTTATTTGTGAATCTCCGATTGCTTTATTAGCAATTTAGACAAATCTATGCTACGGAACCATTTTCATTAGTCTGCTATCGAATAGCTTTAATTAAAGTTGATGTACCTATAATTCAAGTTGTAATAGTTTTGCCACGTGTTTATAAGCTGACCTGAGGTAATATTATAGTGTCTATTCAAGGCTTAATTAGATGTCAATATCCTACGATATTTGTTTTTTTTTAATTGTTTTTTAGTTCCAATATAAAAAGGAAATTGTTTAAGCAATATCATCTGTTGTTTCTCGCTACCGATTGAACAGACATCTCTTAAAATGAAATTCTTGGTAGGTAATACTTTCGGATTACCTATGTGATGAGTATTTTTGCGATAAAAACAATTAGAGTGATATCTTTAAAACTTGCATAATGCTTGTAGATGTTTGATCAGGAACATGGTTCTCTTAGTGTGATTTGAATAGAATAAAATATCTTAAAGAAAGTAGTATTTGTGATATGAGATTTAATTTTATTTAAATAACTAACTATGATGAAATGTACCTATTGAATATAGGTACATTTTCCATTTATTAATAATGTGTTTGTCACAGGTGATTACTCTTTTTGTGTACGTTGCTGCCGCCTCCGCAGCATCTTTAAAGCCCTACACTGCTTTCAACTCCGGAGCGAAGGCTTATGCTGAAGTGAACATCCCAGCACGCAAGGTCGTTGCTGCGCCTGTGGTACAAGCTTCGTCGTACAGTAAATCTAGCAACGCGGGAAATGATGTGGAAGCTACGATTATTAGTTCCCAATCCGAAGTTAACCCTGATGGCTATAACTATCAGTAAGTTTTCCTCAAATCTGTTACTGGCATGCTCTACGTTCTACTCAATTTATATGAAATACCATACACACACTTCAAAAATCCAACCTGATGCTTGGTTTGAGTCGAAAGCCTAAATGTGAAAATACCTGGAGTAGTAGAGACATTTATCGAAATAGATACCGCAAATGTTTGTAGTTTAACTGCCAAAAACATGTCAAAAGGGTGACTAAAGTTCCTCCTTTATCGCTATTTTATTTCTTCGCGTCACCGATCTCGGCACTGGAGTTAATCGAAATAAAAAAAAAAGACCAACGGTGCCAAATTAAGTTATGGAAACGATATCATTGAAACAGGTGACCGGGGTCCATGCTTTTTCATCACATATGTGTTCTCAAAATAAGTGTGTTCTATTATGGGGTTTTCATACAAGTTGAAGCATTACGCCATTAAAGATCTCCTGTCCCATCTCCTAATGAATATGCAACTTGAAATAGTCATCATTGTTATCAGCATGTTAATGTCCCACTAGTGAGGCCCTAGCCTTTCCTAAGGAATGGAACAGGAAAAATTAGCCAAGACCTACCACGTGGACCCAGAGCGGACCGGTGGGTGCTTAAAAGGCAGCCATGACACTTGGATTATCGTACTTCCTGAGCATTCGTGAGAAGAAATGTTTGATCAAACACCTGATGACTGGACTTCCAAGATAGCAGTCTGAACATTGAAATAGTATTTTAAATTTATTATTTGCAGATACGAAACATCGAATGGGATCTCTGCTTCCTCCTCCGGTAGTGTGAAGAATGTTGAGAATGTCGATGCTTTGGTAAGTTTTCTTAGCATCGAATGATTTGATTTAAAGTAATTTTAGCAGAATATGATAATATTAACCGTAACATGTTAAATGTATTTGCAGGTTGTGCAAGGCAGTTACCAGTATAATTCTCCCGATGGCCCCGTTGAGGTCAGCTATGTAGCTGATGAGAATGGATTCCAGCCTCAGGTATGATGTTTCAATTTGATATCATGGCTCATGACTCGTAATTCTGTGACACGCGCAAGACAATATCGAGATGCTGAAATTTATGATACAATTCTAATTCAGGCACATGTGCTAAGCCACAAAAAATGTAACTGAATCAGCTTCTATAATTTTCTTTTGAGTAAGCGATTACTATACTCGTAGCCTTTGGAAAGAGTATTAGGTACTTGTGCGTTCTTTTATATATGTATAAACATTTCTCATCTCTCATCTTATAAATATTTCAAATACATTTGGCATTACTAGTAATTCTGAAATGTTAACAAAAAATAATAATGTAGAAAGTTGATCAACTATCTTTTTTTTTCAAAATTTCCCTATAGATGGGCAGCGCTCACATTTGTACATATTTATTAGAAAAGTTTGCAGCTCTCTTATTAAGTATTTTTTATTAGCTTCTTAGGTTTTCATGAGCATCACTTATTAAATGAAACGATTTTTACGGGTTATATGCACTGTATTTATTTATCTGACGTTTCGCAGCCTTTTCAGGACTGCGTCTTCAGAAATAATGATGTTTTATTTACTTTGTCAAGCTACCTTCGAAAGACTTAAATTGAGCGTTCGGATATTTCATTGGCATATTTTTAAAACTTTATTGTCTATGCTTGAATTTATTAGCTAATTTAATTAATAAAGTAATTTATTTAATTCTTTTTTATAATTTTGAGTTTATTTATTTGACCCTAACTACCGTAAACTACCACCGGTTTCAAAATTGGGATGCATTAGGGGGACCAAACCATTACATTAGATTTGATAAACCCAAGAATGATACGTGAAGCTATTGAAATTAAGAAATATCCAAATTTCAATAAGGAAGATGGTTGGTTTATTTGCTGTCGTGTACCACCTTGGGAATCTATTATAAAAAAGATAAAATCTTAACCCCGAGCACACACTGCAAGACCAATAGATACTTAGTTCTTTTTGTTTGCATAATTTAACATAAGAGGGAGATTTAAATCCTCTCTGAGTTTGTTTCGCCGGTTCTTCTTAGAAAGGTCTCCCAATTTTGAAACCGGTGGTAGTTTAAGGTAGTTAGGGTCAAATAAATAAACTCAAAATTATAAAAAAGAATTAAATAAATAAATAAAGAATTAAATGTGTGTCATGATGCGATCAGCCCACGTGTTTAACCTGACGCGAGTTTATAATTTTGAGCGAAGTGAAAATGCGAGTCGGATTCGCGTACCGAGGGTTTCGTACAAACCTTAAATGGTAAATTGCAGTTTACGATTTATGACGTATGGAAAAAACTACTTTCTTAGATCTCGTTCAAACCAATTTTCGGTGGAAGTTTGCTAGGTAATGTATATCATATATTTTTTATAGTTTTATCATTCTCTTATTTTAGATGCTACAGGGGGGGGGGGGGGCACCTTTTTCTCACTTTGGAAGTATCTATCGCGCAAAGTATTCGGGTTAAAAAAAATATTAGAAACCTCAATATAATTTTTGAAGACCTATCCATAGTGGCTGTGACATGCGGACGGACAAAAAGACAGAAATGACGAATCCATAAGGGTTCCGTTTTTTGCCATTTGGCTATGGAACCCTAAAAAGTCGTTGTTGATGACATCAGGAATTATATTTGTTTCTTAGGTTTTCACGCACATCACTCATTAAATAAAACTAGTTTTTTACGGGTTAATGCACGAAACTTTATTTATTTATTGACGTTTCGCAGCCTTTACAGGCTGCGTCGTCAGTATCATTTTTTTATTTAATTTTGTCGAGCTACCTTCGAAAGACTTTTATTGAGCGTTCGGTTATTTCATTCGATTTTTAAGTTTTATTGTCTATGTATGAATTTATTACTTAATTTAGTTAATAAAGTACTTTATTCCAAAATTGGGAGACCTTTCTGAGAAGAACCAGCGAAACAAACTCAAGAGAGGCTTTCTATCTCCTTCTTATGTTAAATTATTAATTAAATTAGCTAATAAATTCAAGCATAGACTTATTGTTGAGTTTTAAAAATCTTCCAATGAAATATTCGAACGCTCATTAAAAAGTCATTCGAAGATAGCTTGACAAAGTAAAAAAAAAAACCATTATTTCTGAAGACGCAGTCTCCTGAAAAGGCTGCGAAACGTCAGATAAATAAATACAGTGCATTATAACCCGTAAAAATCATTCATTCATTTAAATATTTTTTGTTGCCGGTTAATAAATAAAAATATTTTTTGTGTTTTTCCTAATTCTGTTAGTATAGTCACGATTTTTTAGATATTATTATTTCATCTGGAAGTGATATTTATATGTCATTTTATATATCCGATATATTATATAGTACTTACAAACGATAAGTAAAAAAAAACTAAGTAAATAATCATGACTTGGAAAAAAAATGTGTTTGTCACAGAAATAAATACAATCAGGAACCCAGGACCTTTAAAAATAGAAGGCGGGACCGTTGTTTCTAAATGATCTGGTCGTCTATAACCTATGTATCTAGAGCAAGTTAATAACTATTGTGTTTTACCATAGGGCGCTCACTTGCCTGTGGCTCCACCTGTGCCTGAGGCTATCTTGCGTGCCATCGAATACATCCAAGCTCACCCACCCAAAGAAGAGGTCGTAAAGAAGTTCTAAATTTATCATCTGTACTAGGAATTTACACCTACAACATTTTATTCAAAGGCCAATAGGTCACGATGCGCGTAGATAAACGGATTCCGAATATAAGCAAGCTTGTTAAGTATGTATTATTGTGTGTTATAAAGTAATGTTGTATGAAATGTAAATAAACACGTTGTACTGCCCTATACTGTTGTTTCTTTTGCATGCAAATAGGTATACAGTTTTGCAAAACATTTTGCTGTCGTGTACTATATATTCATTGTGGTGGGATTGGTGATTTTAGATGATCATTAAAATGAATTATAAAAATACAAAAATAATATAATATGTATTTTTACGATCATCTAAACTCACCAATTATAACACAATGAATATTACAGAGAAATAATTTAGTAGCAGTTACGAAATTTATAGTAAGGAAGCCCAAGCGGGGATTTGAGGATTTACTCGAGTGCGGCCGATTAAGAAAAGGGCATCTTGTGAAGTACTCCCACAGACCAGACATAAGCCCATTAAATAGTGTCTTTTCGACACTATATAACGGACTAACGTATGATAAGGGCGGCCGATCAGTATATAAAAAAAAAACGATTGTTGGAAAAACTCGAGCGCATCAGATTAAAGTAAGGCACAATATATTGTTTTAAACTTTCATGTACACTTTCACTAACATTATAACTATTAACGGGATTGTTACCATGTACCTTGTTTTTTAGGAGTCTCCGATATTTCGGCACTGTTGCAAGCGCCATAATCACGGAGTAATTTAACATACAGTATACAGTTACTCCGTGATCATGGCGCTTGCAACAGTGCCGAAATATCGGAGACTCATAGAAACAAGGTACATGGTAACAATACCGTTAATATGTATTTATAAAGTAAGGCAAGTTTATTACATGCAGAAAACTGTGCATTTCAATAATCTGACAATTTGAGCGTGACGTACGTAAATGGTTGAGACACAAAGTTGAAAAAAAGTCACCTGGAACTTTTATTTGAATTAGATGCCTTTTTTATATCAGGAAATGCTTTATGCATACCCAGTAACGATATGGGGCCGTTCCTGGGATATGTGGGACTCCAGGGTTCTGATTACCCACTAAAACCTACTGTACTCTTCATGTGCTTATTATTAACTGCACGAGAAAGCGCAATAGCGCAGGCGTTCGCACAGCGGACAGCACTTGGCCTCGCAGGCCTCCACGGGAAAAGAAGTTGCCCATCGAGTACTCATGGGCAACTCCTCAGCGCCAGGGCGGAATGGTGATGATGGTGGATGCTAGAGCCTCATTCTAGCACCCACCGCCCCGACTCGGCGGTTGGAGAGCGGCATATTGGCGTCTCCGTCGCCCGACTCTTCGCTTGCGGATAGGGTCTGCAGAGGGATCCTCCTCTCGAGCCCTTTCCGCGGCCTCCCTCTGTAACATTATCTGCTGGCGCCGTTCAGCGTCAAAAGCCGCACAAGCCTCTAAAGCATGCTGCGCCGTGTTGTCACTAGCCCAGCACTGATGACAGCGGGTATCCGGCTCTCTTTCGATCCTGTGCAGGTAGTGGCCGAAAGCCCCATGGGCAGTCATCACCTGCACAAGTCGGAAAAATAAGGAGCCGTGTCGCCGGGTCATCCATTCGACCAGGTAAGGCCGGATTCCCGTTATTGTCCAGTGGCCTGCGGTGGGAGTCTGCAACCTCTGCAGCCATTCCTGCATTACGGCGCTCTGGGCCCTCTCGCGCCATCGCCGTATTATCTCGGGCGCCGGGCGTAAACCATCTCTACGGGCGGGGGTTGTGTTAGGTTTGTATATAGCTCTTTGATGGCTAAACCTAACACATCACCTATTTTACCATTCTGTGTCCCGTCTGGTAATCTGGCTAATGATCTAGGGAGCGAGCGCAGGTCGTGTAGATCCCCCAGACAAGCCTGGCTGTTTTCCCTCACGTGGTTGCCGCCTGTTATTGGTCTGATTCCCTATGAAACAGACGTAACTGAAACAGTCAGACGACTTCCCCCCATCCACCAGGAGTAGGGAGGCGGCCTGGTGGTGCGTCAGCCTCTCCTGCGCTAGGCAGGGATGATGGGATCCTGGTGTTTGAGCGGAAAGGGTAGCTGCGGCACCCCGGATGCAACACAGCACTTTGGCCCGGATTTCCAGCGAGACGGCAACTTCGTGGTGTAGCCGACCACGAGGCAATGGTCAGGGCGTCTACCGTCTATGGGTCGCCGGCGAGGGGTGTGGGGGTCGCTCTTAACATCTAGCGATGGACTCCGGCCATGCTGAAGGAGCAAGGTTGCATGGAACCACTGGTAGTTGGGATCGACTACCAGCCATGCAGCTGCAGTTCCCCATGTCGCGCTGTGAGGAAAACCCTGTGCCCCTTTATCCTCACCACAATCCTGGTGCCTTGATTTTTGATATCTTGGATGAACTTTTTTGAACGGTTTCCATTACACTTACACGTGTAATGGAAACCAACAGATCCCATACAAAAACTAGGAAGGACATGACATCGTCTGGAGACCTGGTGAAGGGGAAACCCGGTGACAGGCAGACGAACATAACAGACAAAGAGTCGGTATACCTGGTGAAGGGGAAACCCGGTGTCAGGCAACAACCGCAGGACGTGGCTGGTGATTTGGACTCCTGGCAGGTTGCTACCTACCGACGTAAGAATCGGAAGGCAGTGGACAAGACTGGGAATCCAAACAATGACAAAAACAAAACGACAACCGACCGGCACAGACTCGGACAGAGGGCTAGGAAGGCCCGTAACAAAACAGCAGCTGGCAAGGCCGCCCAGTAGATTGTTACGGGTCAAGGAACCCAGGACAAGGTACAGACAGACAGACCGACAGCTAAAGGACAGACAGACAGACAAACCGACAAAGGACAGACGGACAGACAAGAGGCCTCGAAAAGGCCCAGACTGGACGATACGGTCTCACGGAGAGGTCAATATAAAAAACCAAGATCCGAGGGACCGCGTCGAACAACGGACAAAAAATCCTTCGCGGATGCAGCTACAGCCGACTTGCTCGTAGTAATTACGGGCAAAGAGAAATGCCACATTAGCGCTGCCCATGCTGGGTTTGTCCTTAAGGCTCTGGAGGACGCCGTTGTTGAGGAACTCCTTATGGCAGGACCTTCAACGGACGAAGGCCCGAACCTTAAGGGCAAGCCCATTATTGGAGATGATGCTCTCAGCCTCTGGTGTGAGACTCCCCGCACGCTGGAGTGGGTAAAAAAGACCGTAGCTGGCCTAAAGGTCCCGGGGTATGACGATGAACTGATGGTGCAGCGCCAAATTGATAGGCCGAAGAAGGTGGTGTGTGGTCTTCTTGTCCCGGTACGAGGGAACCACACACGATAGCCAAGCTGCTGCGCTATCAGAATAAATAAGCAGACGTCGACCGATGGTTACTGCATAAGGCCATCGCAGGGGATGACAACACGTTCCTGGTGTTCAGCACCACCAAGGATGTTGCAGAGAAGCTTCTGGAGAGAGGAAGGAGACTGTGCTACCTGATGGGTTCGGTGTACGTTAGGTTCAGGAACCAGGGGGGTCAATACCTGGAGAGCCTGACGCCTTTAGAGCCACCAACATCTGCTCCGTCGCCGAGCACGTCAGGGGGCATAGCAGCATCCACGCCCGACCAGAAGCAGGTGACAGTGACTCCGTCTCCGGCGGATCCCACTTTGGGTGAGCAAGGAGCAGCGGATGTCATCGACGAATGGGCAGACAAACTGGGTGGAATCGACATCGGGCAGGAGGTGGATGTTGATGTTTTGCTTGCGTCCGATGGCACCTCCACCGAGTAAAGTCAAAGTCCTGCAGACTAACCTCCAGCACAGTCGCACCGCAACGGCTCAACTCAGGAAGTGGCTGGACGACAACAACGACGGGGCTATTGCTCTGGTCCAGGAGCCGTGGATCAGATCCAACATCATATGTGGTCTCAACAACACCGGTGGTAAGAATTTTTACAACCCAGGTAACTGCGCACCGCGGACCTGCATAGTATGTTCAAAACACCTACAGGCAAAAATAATGACACAATTTTGTTCTAGCGACATAACAACAATCCAAATAATACAACAGCAAAATCCAAGTGTACCTGTCCTGGTAGTTGCCTCTGCCTACATGCCTGAAGGAGAGGAGACTCCGTCAGGGGAACTGGCTGAGCTGGTGAGACGCTGCGAACAAACAGACAAGGCGCTGATCATCGGCACCGACTCCAACGCCCACCATCAATTGTGGGGTATGAGGAAAAGCAACAAACGAGGTGAGGAATTAGTAGATTACCTATTTACTACTAACCTTAATATAATAAACACAGGATCTAAACCTACTTTTGTAACAAGAAGAGGCAGATCTATCATCGACCTTACACTTGCATCAAGGAGAGCAGCGGAACTGATCTCTGAATGGCACGTGTCCCCAGAGGCATCCTGCTCTGACCACAGGTGGATTAGGTTCAACATCGCGGTACAGCGTGTTACCCAGCCACCCAGACGCATACCTAGCAAAACAAACAGAAGCCAGTATCGCAAACAGGTAACTTGGTCATTGCGACATATGCAGTCTGAAAGTTTGAACGAAACTGATAAGATAGACGAAACAGCTGAGGAATTAACAAAAGTAATCATCTCGTGCTATCAGTCAGCCTGTCCTCTTAGTACGCCATCATCCAGCTCGGATGCCAGCAAGTCTTGGTGGGGTCCCGAGCTGGATAAACTGAGAAAAAAGGTAAGAAGACTTTTTAACAGGGCCATGAATACATGTAACGACCAGGACTGGGACGCGTACAAAGATGCCAAGGCACTTTACAAAAGACGCATTCGACACTGGAGCAATGGGTCTTGGAGAATTTTTTTTTCAGAAATAGACTCATGCACAAAGGCAAACAAGGTAAGAAAACTACTATCTAAAGACAAGCAGCAAGACCTAGCGCAGCTTCGGAAGGCTGATGGCTCCCTCACAGAAACAACTGAGGAGGCACAGAGGGTACTACTTCAAACCCACTTCCCGGGCTGCATCATACACACTGAATACTAGAATGACACAAGCTGGACCCCCACGGAACAATCCTGGAACACTGCATAAAGGACAGTGTCTACAGACAAGTTAAGGTGGGCCATTAACAGCTTCCAACCATTCAAGGCAGCCGGACCAGATGGCATCTT